ATATATATATATATATATATACACAGTATATACCAACATACTTTATTATTTTCTTTAGCTTTTTTATTACACAGGATTCATTCATATAGCACCAACAGTTTGTTGAGCACTTTTTGTTCTGTTTTTTTTTTTTTAATGTAGGATCTCATTGCTAACCTACTTCTGAAAATGCCAGCTTCCTGGTTGACATATTGGCAGTGTGGTTTTTAAACACATTTCTGTCTCTTTAAAGCTGAACTCCATGCAGCAATAAAATACTATGGCATTATGAGAACTATGGCCTCAAATTAAAAGAAAATATGTGTTGCAGCACTTAATTATAAGTGCATCTGATCTTACATTTTGATCTCAGTTCCCTTGTTAAGTACCATTTAGGCCTGCCAGTGTATTCCACCTAATGCAACTTCCTGTGATGGTGTGGCAACAATGCTGCACTACTTCTAAATTCAAAGCAGAGTTGCCACTCTCATTTAGTTGTGCCTGCTATAACTACAGTGATATGAGAAGATGTTGCAGGGGGCATGGCTACCTGGCTAGCCAGCTGGACACACCTAGTGCTACCCACTGCTTTTTAGATTTACATTGCTGTCTCTGTAGATGAAGCCATCTCAGTCTGAGCTGCAGTGCCTGGGAGGGGGCGCATGTGAAAGACAAATAAAGGAGGATTTGCCTCGGTCAGAGAAAGTAAAGAGCATGTTTTGTTTACTTTATGAGGCTTGTGCATCACATAGTACCTGGATTTGGGGCTTGTTTATACTATGACAGAGGAAACTTTAGATGAACTTTAATTATGTGAACTATTCACAAAGCTGCTGAAGGCAGCCGAGTGAATAACCCAGCCGAAATGAAGTGAGTCGAACGCAGTTCGGCTATTCACTTCAGCCTTGCATGGCTGATTTCAGCCACACATCGGCTAAAATCAGCTGTACATTGGCTGCCTTCGGTCAGCTGAACATGATCTGCATGTTTGGCTGAGCCAAAGTGCAGAAGCAGTTTGACTCAGCCAATCCAACATTTGGATCGGCTGAGCCGAAGCTCCGGCAGCTTGCTCCCTGCCGTTCGCCCCTATTTTCATAGGAGCCGAACGGCAGTGAGTGTATAGCCAAAAGCCGCCTTCAGATGACCTTTCTCCACGCTTTGGCTATCACTACGCCTGAAGCATATTCTTTCGGCTCGGCTGAGCTGCTCGGCTGCCTTCTGCTGCTGTACGGGCTATTGTGAATAGCCCGTACAGCAGCCCTTTAGTTCGACTGAACCGAAGGGCTCAGGCGTCCGAAGGAAGCTGAAGGGTCAGCCAAAGCTACAGCTGGATCCTTTGGCTCTTTTGTAAATAACCCTCTATGTGTGTTATGCATTCTTTTGAATACAACTGGTGTAAGTAGCTGAATTTGACTTGAATAATGGAAGGCCAGGACTGCCAGCCACTTAAATGTGCTGCATGCAAATGTGTTCAGAAAGAACATGCTAACAGACTAGAGAATAGAGTGAGCTGAAGATGACCTCATCAGTCTGCTGCTGCTCTTTTACTGTCCAATCAGCAGTTTATTTAAATGTTTCCAGTAGTTTATTTTAATGTGCATTTGGGGAAGGCTAGTCAAAGCCAAAACAGAAACTTATTAGCTTATTAGCTTGCTGGATTTCCGGCAGGTCAACAGGTATAATCAAATGTCTGCTGGACACCTGTTTAATGAATAATTATACTCACCTGTCGTTGAATTCTTGTTAATTATGATTTTGTTGTCAAAAATTTAGCTTTGCTCCTATGACTTTCATTGGGTTGTATTTATGGGGTGTATTTATGGGGTGTCATTGGGGTGTATTTATGGGGTGGAAAAATACTTTGTGTGTGCAAATTAACAAATCTTGGTTGCAATTAAAGGCCCACATTTGTGGGAGTATTTTTTAGTATAGTGTCCCATAGAAAATGTTGTTTATGAAAGGAAAGTAAAGGTTTTCTGACAAATCTGTTGGGGTGTACTCATTTATGCTGAGCATTATACACTGAGCGGCCAGATTATTATGCACACCCCATCAGTACTTCGTTGGGCCACGAGATGACTCAACGAGATGACTCAACGAGATGACTTTGTTGGGCCGCCTCGTGACTCCACAAGATGTTGAAAGGTGATGCGAGGAATCTGACACTGCACTGTTGCCCTTCTGTATTCTTGTACCAGTCTTGCCACTCTCCGTTCTGCCCTAACATTGACTGGTCGCTGACGGCCACAATTTGCACATTCAGGCCCAGATTTTCGGCTGACAGTCCAGTCTTTAAACACTTTAATAACAGCTGCTCTTGAACGTTTAACGAATTCTGCTGTTTTGCTGATACTCGCTCCATGGCTCCGAGCGCCAACATCCCACATTTAAAGGCTGTTAAATTGCGTTGTTTACCCATATCTTCAGAAAAAAATCACTTCTACTGTCGTGGTAAACAACCTGCTTCCCTATTTATAATGGTCTGGCCCTCTAGCAACTTTAGCGCAAAATTCTTGCTAATTATAGCTAATTTGCCTACAAACGTCAGGTGGTCATAATAATCTGGCCACTATATATATATTTTAATTTATTTATTTTTTTAAACTTTACCTTGACATACATTTTAAAAGGCAACAATGAAGAGCAATTAAAATGGAAGCGTAACATCTAAACCCATATGGTACTTTAGCAGTCTTGATGTGGATGACAAGCTCAGACACGTGCAAACTAATAAAAGGGCTGGTTATAATTCTGCTTCAGTAATGATAAGATTCAGCCTCTGTGACTGTCTAATGTCAGACCCGGACACACTCTGGGAATCAGTGTCCTAAACTGATCTTTAGATGACAGTGTAATTTTCTAGTCTTCAAGCTAGCCAGTAAATTGTGCCATTTTAATGTTATACTGTATAAACTTCTGCCTGAAAGGAAATAAAAATGTTTGTTAAGGCATATTGTTCATGTGCATCAATTTTAGTGCTTTTCCAAGGACCTGGGCAGTTTCTGCAATCTAAGAAGTATTGTTGCTTTTACACCTCTATGCTTTTTGAGACTCCAGTTCAAACTTTATGTGTCATGTTGTCAACATATTAAACATTTACGCAGCGCTGAATGCAGCCCTTGACCTGTGCTTGTTGTGGTCTCATTTTACCTATCAGTACTTTTTTGATGTTAAGTCCAATTTGCACAAAGATTGAATGTGTTAGCAAAGAGCAATATCCCAGCTTCTGATGTTTTATACATACATGAATAATATCAGTATTTAACTCTATCCAGCCTAAATTCTAACTTCGAGGTCATGTAAAGCCCAACTCAAGTCACATCTGTCAGAGTTTTATTACACTCTGGCAGGGGAAAATCAGAATTTAAGATAAGCTATTCATATCTACTGCTTTGAAAGCACTGGCATTAATTCTTCTATGTTTTGTGGAAGCTTTGATCGGGCTTTAATAGAATGGGAAAAAGTTGGAATCTCTGTGCGTTTATTGCTGTTTATATTTGTCCGACTCCTGTGACTCTCATTTCATATCTCGTTGTCAAAGGGAAATAGGACAGCAATAAAAACTTACTTAAAGGAGAACTATGGGGTCAGTGTTTTCCCCCATAGTTCTCCTTAGGGTAACGGGAGGACACAAACTAGCGTCCTCCCGTTACCCTAAGCTCAGTATACCGCGAGCTACAGCTCGCGGCATACTGAGACGCCGCAGCCGGAGCGGATCCCGACATAGATGACGGGATCCGCCCAGCTGCGTGAGTGACAGCTGGCTCTGCCTATCTAGAGGCAGAGCCAGCTGTGCCCGCCCCCCTCCCCCGTCCGTTCCGCCAGTCAGCGCTGGCAGATCGGAGCGGGGAGAGGGGAATCCAGCCCCTCCCCCTGTCACGGCAGAGAGCCGTGACAGGATCGAGAGGTGAGTGAACCTGGTATGTGTTCGCTCACCTCCCGATCTACTGAGCCGACCTGTGACAGTCTCATTGTCACAGGTCGGCTAGAACTATGAGGTGTTGTCAAAAATCACTCTCATAGTTCTCCTTTAGAGTGACATTAAACCCTCCGATTTTTTAACATAAAACAATACTGTAATGTGTGCCTTACTGTAATCCATGGTAGTTCCCCTTCTCTTGCTGCTCTTCCTTTTAAATCCATATCTCTTCTCTGCTGGGCAGAACTTCTGTTTTGCAGCAGACTGCCTTGTCTCTGGAATGGATACATGGGGGTCTGTTCATGAAGCTGCTGAAGGATCTGGCCGCAGCTTCGGCCAGATCCTTCGGCCATTGGCAGGCCGACAGCCTGCTTCTGACAGCTGGGCGGAGCCAGCCGTGATCTTACGGCTGGCTCT